GGCCTCGTGGGGTTTTCCCATCTGGTTTTGTACATAGGCCCAAGTGGCAGGGCTAGGACACAGATTGCTGCTTCTCCTCATCCTTCCATGCTCAACAAAGCTCTCGAAACCATAAAGAGATGAGCTCATTCACCCAACAGTCTTGCCAGACCACCGTTCACGTGGGGTGACTCATGCTGGAGCCCACACCCGGGTGCTGAACTCTCCTCCCATCCACCAGGCCAGGGAGCCTCAGACCAGAACCCCAGCTGGAGGTTTCAGAGCTGGGGTCACTAGGGCTGACTCTGCACCCACAGTGGCCTGCTTCCCAAAGCCAGAAGTGTGCCTGCGCAACCGCTGATCAACCAAAGCCAGGGTGTCGGTGTCCCCGGTTTTGACACTGCTTCTCTCCCTTCACTTAGCTCCTGGGCCACAAAGCAGGGTGGTCCCTTCCTCAGCTTCCTGCAAAGCTTCAAGTTGCTTGTTCTCTTTAATTTGACTCACTCTACTCCCATTTCCCTTTCTGCCCTATTCCTGATTTTCTGGATCACAAGAACATTTGACTGGCCTCTCAATGAGCTGGAATTAGGACTTTATTTAATTAGGACTTAACTGTCCCTCCCCTTCTTGTCCTCAGCCAGATCAAACCTCTCCTCCCTTGGAGCGATTTTCTTTCTTGCCCATTATTTGTGTATGTGTGTGTTTGTTGACTCTGGCATGTGGCTTTGCCTAGTAAATTCCAGTTTTCTTTCTCCCATCCCACTTCCCTCTGCTGTTCAAAGTGGCATCTACCCTTTAGTAACCTTGATTATTAGGTGAAAGAAGCTATTTCCCTTGGCTCAGAAAGCTCGTGATTCAATGCTAAAAACAGGTCTTATAATATAACCAGGAAGGCCAGCTGTCTGTGAAGGCTTAAATGTCCAAATAGCTATCTTGACCCAAATTGCACATGCTCCACAGTTCAGCTGAGAAAAAATGCCAATCACTACCCAGCCCTGCCCACCTGCCTCCCAGCCCCACGCCTCATTTGGAGCCTACTCAGCCTTCAGCAGAGCGGCCCTCAAAACTCTCAAGGTGATGGGGAGGCTAGGTATCCCCAGCTGGCCTGTTTGTGTCAGGAGGAGGAAATGGAAAGAAGGAATCAGGGTGAATAGGATCAGAAGGGGGAGGGAGCCCTCAGGAAGGGGGCATCTCCCATCTCTATGAAGAGGAGGTGCAGGGGTACCGCTCAAGCTTAAGAGTCACCTCTGCACATGCTCACATGCTCTTTTCCCCTAAGTACACCCCTTTAACTGTACTCGCACCCTTTGCCTGAGACTCCCCTGCTCCCACCTGCAGTGATATTCATTCACCCTTGTGCCTCTCAGGGCACATCGGGTGCTGCTAGGACAGCATGGAGAGGTCTAGAAGGAAGAACACGTGTTTGACATTCTCAGGGTGCCCCGATGTTATCCTGAGGTCCCTGCTAGTAGCCTCCACCTCAGTCTCATGCCCTGGTTTACCAGCACAGGGAGCAGCAGAGCCAGTGTTTGGAGCAGCTGAGTGCTCACTAGTGATTACTCATAATGAGCCCCTCATATATCAAAAGCGTCACTGGGAGCAGGAGCCCTCTGGGTGGGGACCGTCCCTGCTAGTCAATTGCTGTGCTTTTCACCACTTTGTGGAGAAATGATGTAAGATCATCTGTGACTTAATTGGCCCTCCTCTGGTTAATGGCTCTTGAGGCAGAAATTATTTACATGCTAAGCTTTCTGGCCTCCATATACAGTCCACACACAGTCATGTGGAGGACAGAAAAACCAGTGTAAGGCCAGTTGCCCTTCATAATTCAATTTATAATTTCCAGAAGAAAAAAATAGGCAGTTCCTGTTTCCTCTTTTGTGATATTTCCTTCATTAAACTGATACACCTCTGCAGGAACTGTCTGTAGGTGTACTGCTATGGGGAAGAGAGAGACAGACGTTCCCTCCCATAGAAGTTCATAGTGGACGCTGCCATCTTAGAGGTCTGTGCCAGAAGTCAGTGTGGGGTATATACACTTGCTTAGTCTGCCCAGCAAATTTGTGAGGAAGGAATTATGTGGCTATTTTCAGACAAGGCAGTGTGGCTCAGAAAGGGAAGTTCATTTTCCCAAGGTCACACAGCTAGCAAGTAGTAGAGGCAGATGCAAACCAGATGTGTCACATCCCCGAGTCCTCTCTCATCTAGTGTGCTATTCTTGCATTGGTCTTACTTGTCACAACCTTGAATGGCCTTCATAACACAGCCAGAAATAAGGGGCACGTGCTGCTCTGCTGCTCTCTTCAGACAAAAGTTACAGTGTTAGGTGGATACGCGCTCCCTGGGATCTGACAGAACACTCAGAACTCTCTACAGTGAGCAACTTAGCTCAGAGCAGTTGTGCTTTTCTAGTGCAATCAATCTTGGTAGTTAGCCCTGAAATGGAGTAGAAGCCTGTGCCCCCTAAAGCTCATTTATCTGTGCCCCAGAGAAGTCTCAAGTGGTTTTCTAAGATTTCCTTAGCTTGTGTTGCGAAGTCCCTCATAGGCTCCGACTCTTCTCTGTCCCTCCATTTAGTCAAAAGTTCATTCACTGATCACACTCCCTGCCACGTGCTCATCTCACATTGTCAAGCACTAATGAGCCATAGGAAATGCTTATGTTTGAGCACAGAAGACAGTAAGCCCTCTTCCCTTCCTAGCCAGGGGAGAATGATAAACAGTAATAAGTAAGGAGGGCATTGCGTGCTAGGGCCAGACACAAAGAAAAAGAAAACTACCTCTTAGAAGTGAGGACTGAGGAAAATGGAGGACGTGGCATTTGGCTGAACCTTGCAAGGTGTGGCAGAGACAGAAAAGGAGCAGATAGAATTGGACTATAGATACTTGACAAAGGGGCCCCTCCTTGGTGGTGCAGTGGGTTAAAGCACAGCACTAAGAAGCTAAAGTTACTTCAGTATGAGTTCAATCCCCACCTCGCGGAGGTGACCCACATGGTATGGCAGACCTCTCCTGACCCACCCGCTGCTCCCCTCAGCAGTGTACATCATCCATCTGCTTGTTCTGCTCCCCACTCTGTCTCTGATGAATTCTCTCACTGACCCTGCACCTCTGGCCTCTACCACAGTTCTATATGCATAAATAAATCTTTAAAAAATACTTGACAAAGGGCAGAAATCAGAGTAGCCCAGAGTGCCTGGGCGCTTGGGGCTGCGCTTGGGGAGCAAGGGAGGGGTTGGGGCCCCTTTGTAAAAGTTCTGAAAGGCCCACTCAGTGCTCAGTAGCCCATAGGACAAACTCGGCACATGCTTAGGGGACCAGCAAAACAGGCACCCCAAATAATATCAGCAAAGAGGACATCTAAAAAGAAATGAGTTTCATATAATCTTTGAGTTTTGTGCAATTTCAAAAACTGTTTCAAATTTTAGCATCTTTTTAAAGTTTGGAATTACACTTGGAGAACATCACTCTTCTTATTTTAGGGTCTCCAAAGGCTTCTTTCTGGCTGTGACTCTGTCACGGAAATTGCACACCAACCAATCTCAACTTTGAGATAGGATTGAATGAAGGTAGTTTGCAAAATTGCTTTTTGAATAACCTAAAACTGTGTCCCTTAATCTCCCCCCACCCCAGGGGTGGGGAGAGTTGTTTGTCCAGAGTATTGGTGGCTGTTCAGTAACTGTGAAAAGTGATAATAACAGAGGGTATCTTCCTGTAGCCCAGGTGAGGAGCCGGCACCTTGGTGAAACACTGAGTACTTCCCTTTCTAAGAGAAGTCAGCCATCTCCCTGTGGCCCTAGGAGAAGGCTACAGACTGGGCTTGCCATTCCTGTCCAGCCCAGCCCCGCTTTCCCCCATTGAGTAAGACGTCTATGAGCAGAAGGCTCATGGTCAAAAGTTGAACCTGCCTTCCCCCAACCCCTGCTGCCACTGGGGAGGTAAGAGGACTTAAAAAAAATGAATGAAGAGGGCCCTCCCTGGTGGCTCAGCGGGTTAAAGCACTGCACTAAGAAGCTTAAGCCACTTCCACAGCATGAGTTCGATCCCCGCCTGCCCCGGAGGTGACCACATGGCGGAGGTGACCACATGGCGGAGGTGACCACATGGCGTGGCAGACCTCCCCTGACCCACCCGCTGCTCCCCTCAGCAGTGTGCTTCGTAGATCTGCCTGTTCTGCTCCCCATTCTGTCTCTGGTGAAGCCTCTCACAGCCTCTGGCCTGTACCCCATTTCTGTATGAATAAATAAATAAATCTTTAAAAAAAATGAAGAAGAGAATGTGTATTTCAAAAGACCACTCATCTAGATTGGGGGTGTCTACAAGAAGGGGCTCCATGGCATCTCACTCCCAGCCCCAGCCAGCCCATTCCAGAGGCACAAGATGAGGGAGATCCTGAAAGGGCAAGGGGAGTGTTAGGGTTTTAGAAAGAAGGTGAACAAGACCCAGTGGAATTCTATCCCAAGATATTATATATAACATGGCAAAGGCCCCCGCCCAGCCTAGGTGCCCAGCAGGAGAGGGGATGAGTGCCCACTAGCAGTCCACCTAGGTGCCCCCTGGCACCTACTGCTCTCCTACTGCTCACGACCTCGACCTCGACCTCCTAGCTGGGGTGCCAAGGCCCAGAGCCCAGGCAGAGGCATGAAAGAGCACGGGGGACCCTTCCCAGTTAGCGCCCAGTTCCCAGATGATCATTTCTCTGAGGCCATAGTCCTCGCCTAGCCCCTACCTGGCCCAAAAAAGACATTGGATATTGTGTTGAAAATGAGTGAGTGAAAGTACATAATGGAGTTAGTGTCCATCCGCCCACCCCACCCCCTCTCAGTCACTCCCAGCTTTCCTGGTTCAGAGAGTTCCCCAGCACAGGAGGCTGTTGTCTTGGCTCAGAGACTTGGTTAGGTAACAAGGTGGCACTGGCCAGGGCACACATAGGCAGAACTCTGGTTTCTGGGCAGGGCTTAGGCTCCCACAGCCCCACCCCTGGCCTGACATCCCAATTCAGTGGGGGGAAGAGCATACATTTCAGCTGTCTGCAGGCCCACTCACTGTATTTTTAGCAAAGGCTTCCAACAGCAACATGAAGCTGGGAGGTTTCCTTCTCCTGGTGACCCTCATCACCCTCAGCTTTGAGGCGCAGGAGATCCAGGCTGCAGTGAGACCACTGCAGATTTTGGGTGAGTCAAGGCAGAAGGCAGTCCCGATCTTCTTTGAACAAAGGAATGAGAAAGGCAATACTGGGAACCAGAAGGGACGGGGAGGAAGGAGAGCAGGCAAGGTAGCTTACTCAAGGCGCCTCGGCAGGACCTATCGGGACTGCAGAGTCTTTCCTGGCCCTCTTTCTTCCCCTCTTCCTCCCCCTCTTCCTTTGAGTCACCTCCCATCTGAACATTCCACTCTGTGCAAGGTGGGCCCCTCCTGACCTACCTCCCACCTCCCCAGCATTTCTCTCTCCACTGCTATAAACAGATCATATTGCCTGAGAAAGTATTTTCTTGATCATGTTAAACACCCACCCTTCCCAGTTCTGCTTTTCCTTTCATCAGTAATATTCCCAAAAAAAGTCATCTGGGTTCTTTGCCCTGGTTCGCTGTCAGTCATCATTAACCCCTTGGAAACCAACTACAGTCTCCATGGCTGCCACCTCCTCTCTCCTGAAAGTCCTCTGCCAGGTCGTTGACAAGCCTCTTGACTTTCCTCAGTGGCCTGTGTGTGTCTTCACGTCTGCAGCACCTGGTATGTGTGCTGGGCCCTCAACCCTCTTCTCTCTGGATTATCTTCACTTATCTCTTTCTTCTCCTCTCTCTTTGCTCCCCATCACCCCCTAGAATAAACAGGTTGCCAAATACCGCCTTGCTTTGAAAGGGTCTCTTGCACAGGTTCCTTCCCCCACCCTGCCCACTCATTGCCACACTGTTTCCACTCCTGATTGCCCCACACTTGGGCCACACAATAACTTCCTAGCAGCTTTCCCTCCCCCTTTCTTCCTTCTGAAGCCTGCTTGCTTGTTAATCCTGGGTCATTCTGTGCGCTCAAACAGAATAATCTTTATAAGTAAACAGCCGTCAGATCCACCCCGCCACTTCCCTAATAAAAGCCCAACTCTTCAGGTTGTCCTCTGTGACTGTCCCGTCTGCTCGTCCTACATAACATCCAACTGTTCTTGGATATTTATTCAGCTTTCCATTTCCCATTCTCCTGTATACTTGGTATGTCAGGTGAGGAGAGAGGCTGGCCACGGGCCCAGGGCACGAACTGTCCTGCCTGCTGCTTAGCAGTGCACTTATTCAATCTGCCTGTTCTGCTCCCCACTCTGTCTCTGGTGAGTCCTCTCGCTGCCCCTGCACCTCTGGCCTGCACCCCAGGTCTGTATTCATAAATAAATAAATCTTTTTGAAAAAGAAAGAAAAAAATAACCTCCTAAAATCCACGACTCAGGGGCCTCACTGGCCTCTCCAGGCCACCCTGCGGCATTTCCCCCTTGTGAACTCTCTTTCTTTGCCTTTCTTACAACACTCTACCCCACCACCAACCTAAGTCTGCCCTAAAATGATTCCTTTGCTTCAAAATTCCCTTTCCTGATTAACCTAATTAGAATGAATACCTTTTTAAAGTACTTCAAATATTTGTCTTAGAACATGGTCAGTCTCTGAGCTGCTTGGAGGTCATGACCTCACCTTACATCCCTGTATTTCCTGAATAACTCACCTTTTATGCTTTACATGCAGTAATAAATCCACACAGAGAGCGAGCGATCAGATTGCTAACTGGAAACACAAGTCTCCAACCTACCACATCCCTTAACAACAGCTAATGAAAACAGGTCATACTGATTTTCTTGGTGGTCTGCAAATGCACTATTTTAGCATTTCTTTGAGTAGTCATTTATAAATTACTTCATGTGTTGAGCTAAAAGGAAAATGTGGAACTGTCCTTCACCAAGGGCTGTCTTCTCTGCGGCATATGCTTAACAGGGTGGTTTTATTCAACTGCTTTGTTCTAATGTAGGGTCCTGTGTTGAGCTCTGCAGTGGTGACTGGGACTGTGACTTACATGAGCGCTGTGTCAGCAATGGGTGTGGCCATATCTGTGCTGCAGACTGAGGTCAGGTAAAGACAACAACCCCCCGCTGCTTCCCCAACCTTGTACAAGCCATGTGGGCTGTATGCTTGGCACTGATGAAACTTTCCAGAAATGAGTGGGCTTGTTTCTCTGTGGTATCTCCCTCTTCACCTGCCCTTCCCAAGAAAAAGGAACATCTAGTGCAGTGTTTTCCAAGTCTAATTTCATTTCCCAGCATGTCCTAAAGGGAATTCAGGCTATTATAGAATATTTGAGAAAAAAAAAATTGAAAAATCACCTATAATGTCCCATCCCAAGATAATATCTGCTTAACATTTTAGAGTATATTTCATTTGCATACAAGATACATGTATGTAAAAATGAGATAGAATTGTACCTATTTTGATTTCTTAATTTTATTGATAACTTTTAATATCAATGATATCATTAAATTATATTAAATGATATAATGATAATATCTGAACTTTTAATATCAATAGTGATACTTCTATATCATCATCTCTAATGTCCTTCTGGAAGTTTTTATAAATGCTCATACACTTAGCAACCCTTAGTAAAATAAAATAAGCAACACTTAGTAAAATACACTTTTAATATATTTTCTTAATTTTATATTATTAATATCACTGTAATGAATACTAATTGATATAAGCAGCTTTATGAATCTTTGGGATACGTTGTAACTGATGATTAAAATGAATACTAATTTTTTAAAAGATTTATTTGTTTAGGCATACAGAGCTGGGGTACAGGCCAGAGGTGCAGGGGCAGTGAGAGAATTCACCAGAGACAGAGTGGGGAGCAGGACAGGCTGACTGATGAAGTACACTGCTGAGGGGAGCAGCGGGCAGGTCAGGAGAGGTCTGCTACACTATGTGGGTCACCTCTGGGGCATGATCGAACTCATGCAGAAGTGGCTTTAGCTTCTTATTGCTTTGCTTTAACCCACTGCACCACCAGGGAGGGCTCTGAATGCTAATTTTTTAAGTCTTAAAGTACGTAGCTGTATTTTACCTCTGAGAACCCCTTTCTGTAAAAAATATCCCAGGGGCCTCACAAGGTAATTAAAGAGGAAGGAGGGAAGAAAGCATAATTAAAAACTGCCATCACTCCATTGTGATTATAAGTTAAGCCATACTAGACAAAACAAAAAACATAGTACTTAAAAAAAAAAAAAAACTTTTTTTCCAGAATGTATTATTTGTTCAATCTACCCACAGTCCTTGCTGTACTTATGACCTTGCTGGTTCCTTATAGGTGGTTGATTCTCAGATCTGGTAACTGTCTCCTCTCAATATCATTCTGTGGATTCATGTGCCATAAACAGCCAATCTCATGCATAATTTTTTGGTTCATTTCTCAGATGAAGTTTCATCCTTCTTCATTCCTGGAGTTCCTATCTGCAAAGATGTCACTGGAGATCCTTGTTCACAAAGACAGATGAAAAGGGGGCCTGTGGATGGAGATTATAAAGGATGGGGGAAGTAGGGGAAAGAGGGGATGTTTCTTTGAATAAATGATCATCATTAAAACATACCCTTACTCCTTTCTGATTAAGGGAAATGAGGAGACAGTGGGAAATAGATGGCATTTGTTGGATGTTGCTGTGAAACAATATACAACTCTTATATTTGCTATAGGAGAGGGAGAAGAATATCCCAGGATTCCAAACCTACCCATTCTAAATAGGTTATGCCATCTGCCACATCAAGACAAAACATACTCTGATGTGTAAGACTTTCAATGGAAAGGAACTTCAATATAATTAATTTGCAACAAAGAAAAGGGGAAGAATATAGTTTCCAAATCAAGTACCCATCCAAAGTTACCCAGGGCCACTGAGGTCCAAAAGCTACCACAAGTCTAAGCCACATTTCAGCAGGGATCCATGGAAAAGGATCAGAAACAGACAAGTCAGGGATGAAAAGAGCAAAATCAAAAGCACCATAAACACTGCCATTGTTAACCTCCCCACGGGTCTCTCATCCACATCTGTTTCACCCAGTCCAGGACCAAGAAGCAAGCGCAGCTTCTTCACATGTCTCTCTGCTCCATGTGCCTCCTCCAGGATTCATTCTGCCTCTCCATACTGCTTCCTTCCTTCCCCAGGCTCTTAGCATCACCCTTCATTGGGTGGGGCAGGGGACCTGGTACTCCCCTTTCCCTGGGGACCAACCTGTTACATGTTCTCCACAAGCATCATCTAATTTATCCCCACAACAACCTTGTGAGCATATTTATTATCATCTCTAGGTTTGGAGAAATGAGTGTACTCAGGGTTGGAGACCAGGTAAGTGTTGGGGCTAACCTATCCCCCAGATCAAACACTGAGACCTATGTGTGAAAGCATAGATTTAGAGCTTCAACTCTGAATTTCAAACCCACGCCCATCACACAGGATGTGTGGCCTTCAGCAAGTTTCCTGACTTTTCTTTGTTTCAGTTTCCTCATGTGTGTAAGTAACTACTCCACTGACCTACAAGGATAAAAACTGTCTGACATGACACTTGGAAAACATTCAATAACTATTAACTAAGATGATTATTATTAATGAGTAGATGGACTGGTGACTCTTTAGTCCTAATTTTCTAAGACTCTAGAATAGAACTTAAGGCAATCTTCCTTCCTAGTTCACCTGGATATTGAAAGTCCCTCTTTTCTGTTTTTTCCAAATGCAAAATGTGGAGGGTAAAGATAGATTTACAATTTCTTATCTGTGTTTTTCATACCCACAGACTTAAGATTCAACTGTCCCAGTTATAATCTGATTTTGAGCAATTAACAACCCATGTGACCCTGAACTAACATTTAAATGCTAAATCTTTTCTCTCTTTAAAACATTTATGCTTTTCTTTGCTATTAGAAAGAAAATTGGAAAATATCTACCTCATTTGAATCCTAAGATTTCAAAAGCTTTACAGTTTACAAAGCATTTTCACAAACACTTTATTTGACTTTCACATCAACTAAAAAAGGCAAATGGATCTCTGAATCAATAATTAGTGAATTCACTCATTCTGTCCACAAATCTTGTGGGGTGCCTACCACACCCCTGATGCTGTGCTGGCTCAGGGACTATAACAGTGAACCAGGCAGACGGTGTTGACTGAAACAGGTGTATCAATAATAGTTAAGAGTTTATTAGATTATCAAAGTAAGAATCCAAACCCAGGAAGCAGTTCTAGAGAATCAGTCTGTGATAACTATTCTGATCACAAATTTGAGTTTAGCTCATATAGTTAGGAATAGTAATCATTGATGTAAACAAAGAAAAAATATATTCTTGATGGGGCTTTGGTTTTCTGTTTGTTTTTTTTCCCTACAGGCTTAGACTTTTCACTTTCCTCAGTTATCTATGTGTAGGGTTTAAACTGGAGTTTATCTACTCCCCTGACTTCTGCAGAATGCACAGTGGCACCGCAGAGGTCGGGCACCTATTATTTAAATCTTCCTTACATGGCTGTTGGTCATTAGTGGGGTTTAAAAGGCTGGTTTACCCACAGGGAGCAGAGTCCTGTATGGCTGCTTTATAGAACAGGAATTCTGACTTGATGTTTATGCAGATGACTCTGCTCTTACCTGCCAGGCCCAGGGAGGGGGGTTCAGAGCATTTACAAAATGTTTGCAATGAGATCTGTGCTTACTCAAAGCTCCAGATCTAGAGGAAGAAATAGCTGATAGACAACTGAACAAGGCAACTACAAATTATGGTAACTGTTCTGAAATAAAGATGTGAATTACAGGGGGTGGGTGGCATAAATATGTCTTACATTAGTTAGGATGATCTGGACTTTGAAGAGGGATAAGAAGTAAAATTCCAGAGTAATTTATTACCTTATGCAGAATTTATAAAGGGAAGTGACTGAACTTGCTTAAAATCTTTAAGTTCCTGCCATCACTCTAAGATTATAAAAATATTGGGAGTGAGGAATGAAGTTTGTGGGCAGAAATTTTTGGGTGTACTTCAACCAAGCTGTAAGTTTCCAGTGTTGGGGTCACCTTTAAAACACAAGCCAATGAAGTCCCCCACTATGAATTTGTATTATTTCTTTCAGTTGGTGTTCATGAAGTAGGAATGTGTATTCCCTTGGAAGAACTATGTTGCCATCTTCTATATTTATCATATCTGTGTCATTCAGTCTTAAATAACATGGAGGTGTGGGTCTTCCTTGTTGTAGCATAAATGAGCTACAGGAAACCCAAATCCTTTTCATATTCTCTCTCACATTATTTTGGTAGTAACAAAGCCTCACATCCTTCAAGCCCAGGTGTGGGTATCTCCTATGCACTGCTCAAATATCCACAGTCTTACACTCTTATTTCAATAATTGCTGCAGCTCCAGTTGATCACAGGCATCTACTAGCTTAGCAATAAGTACAGCCTTGCTTCTGATATACCCTACCCTAATACTCTCCATCTCTCACTTTTGCTCTGGGCTTCTCTGACTACATAATAAGAGTTCCTGCAGGAACCACTGTACACAGATGCATGCTCAACTCACAGGCTCTGAAGAATAAGTACCTGCTAGTGCAATGCTTGGCAGTTGAGGTCAAAGCTGAAGGGTAGATATGCCCCCCCTTTATTCCTCAAGTGAAGGGGGGCTTCTGAGAGCATTTCATAAATCTTAGAACATACCGAGAATTGGGCAGTAACTCACCCCTTGCAATGGCCAACTCAATAGCACAAATTTGCATTGATTTTCTTTCCGTTTATGTTCATACTTAAATAAATTACATATCAACCATGTCTGATATGCTACTTTAGGAGAACTTGGACTAAAAACATCAGCAACTGGGTCTCAGCTCCATGGTCTTCTAAATTCTTGAAAGTCAAAAATACATACACTTAATATATATGTACACACATCCCAAGAATAAGCAATAATGTACAAACAGGCTGACACCTACATTCAAACAAAAAAAAATTTCTTCCCAAAGAAGTCTTTTGAGAACTAGCTCTACACTAAAGCATACCTTGAAGTTACATTTTACATGATTCAGTTTGAACCCTCGGGTTATTTTTCTTACAGGGCAAAGTGCCTCAAGACTCATGGAAGGATTCACACTGGGAAGAGGGAAGAAACTGGAACAGCAAGCTTCCAAGTTGCCCTACACTCCTTTGGAAGAGTTTAATTATGTGGTCACAGCCAGATGCAAGCAACATTTGTAAGAGAAAGCTTCATTCACGGTAGCTTTATTCATTTTATTTTTAAACACCCTTTTCTCCCCTCCAATATAGGACATATATTCCCCACCACCAAAGCACCCAGAATCCATCACCACTGGCCATTGCACTCTCCTCTCCACACCCCTCTCCCTTCCATTCCTTCTCCCCTCCTGAGTGTCTCAGATCAACAGTCAGCTTCCAAGGGTGAGTGTTATAGTGTCTCTCTGCTCCTTGTTTTAGTCTCTAGATTCCACAAGTAACTGAAACCATTTTGTGTTTCTCTCTCTCCTTCTGCTCACTTCACTGACACTAACCTCAGGTTAGTTATATGCCTGGGGTGTAGGAAAAAACCACCAGGGGCTCTAATACAGTGTAAGAAGACCTAGCTGTTTCCTGGCTCTCATCCCGACTGGCCTCTCTTAGACCACAAGCCTAAGCTGCACCTCTAGGAGAAGAGGACCACTGACCGGCTGTGCAAAGCCAACTCCAGGTACCATGTGGGCAAGACCCCACCCCCTGAGCAATGGATGATGGGAAGTGGGTGGGGCTTGCCTTTGGCATGAGCAAGGGATGATGGGAAGTGGGTGGGGCTTGCATTTAGCCGTTAAACCGCCACTGAGGATGGGAGGGTGAGGAGCGACGGCTTCTGCTTGGACCTTGGTCTCTGCTCAGTGGCCGCATTCTAGGGTAGGATAGCTGGCATCTGGTCATGCAACAGGCTGTACGCTAACTCTCAGTGCTCCTTTTTTCACTCTGTGTAAAAAACGCCCCCTTTACTGTTGTTTCTCTGTGGATCTGGCCAGGGTTGTGTCCTAAAGGGTACAGGTGAGGCCCTATCGCATTCTCCTTTCCGCAGTTTTGCCCTGTTTGGCAGGTATTAAGAGTCCTGGCAGCCCAGCCACAAATTCTTGGGGGGTTGGGGAGGTAAGCAATCCCCACTTTCCAGTGAGGGCCTGAGAATAAGTAGGCAGCAAAAAAAAGTCTCCACGCTAACAAGCTAACCAGTGTTTTTGGGCTACCAGTCTGACCTGGGGCCGGGTCGCCCACCCCTTGGCCTGGTCACCAGTTGGCATTTCCGGAACTGGACCCGCGCGGAGGCGGGGAATGCCCCGGAAGTACTCCCCTGTTGCCCTCGTAGGAAAGATGGCGGCGGTGCAAGTCGCTGGCTCCCTTCTAGGCGGGCCACAGCGGGCGGCGCCGCCGGAGTCACCCCCCAAACCGGGCAATGGGTTCCGCTGCTTATCCGCCAGGCTTTGCGCCCTGCGCCCGGATGACAGCAGCTCTGCCCGCACGGAGATCCACCTGCTTTTCGACCAGCTTATCTCAGAGAACTACAGCGAGGGCGGCGGCGGCGTGGCCCCGGAGGTAGGCGGCGGGGCAGTGGAAGGACCTGGGGCCCTCCCCCCGGCCCTGGCCCTACCCTGCAGGGATCCTAGCTGGTAGCTCCGCTCGCCTCTCCGGGCCATTTCCATCCCCACCCTGCATTGCTTAGTTCTGCTAAGGGAAAAGTATGTTCTACAGGAACTCTGGGGATACAATTAACTTTTAAGCGCGCGGGTGAGGACCCACTGACAGGCAGTTCAGTTCACACTGGGTTGTCCTGTAATAGTTCCGCGTTCCGTTGTTGCTTCCTAGCATTGCTGTTCTCTGGCGTCTTTCTGGAAACTTGCAGTTTGGACAAACTCGCACCTTTTTTTTTCCACTCTGGTAACACTGCTGGTGTCATCTCTGGTATAAACTTATACTCACTCTATGCATCCGAAATGCTCTCTATAGAGAAAAAAAATCACTACTACCATTATTGAGTATACGAAACACAGACTACGTACTGTGCTTTCCCACACATCCTCTGGTGGTTCTTAGAAGGGGTATTGTTAGGTCTGTTTTACTAATGAAGGTATTGAGGTTCATCAGGGCCCAGTGGCATATTGCTTTAAGGGCATAGCTAGAATTGGAAGCTAAGTCTGTCAGGAAGTTCCTGCATTTTCTGTACCTCCATGCTAGTTTGGCCCTCTCTGTATCCTCTTTCGAAGTTCTTTAACTTTCACACTAATGTTTCCCATACACATCAGGCCTTGGATACCTTTACTGAAGTCCCTGGACTTTTGACCTTGTCATACCACCACCTTCTGTACACACAGGCTCCTCAAACTTGACAGTTCCTAAAATCACTTCCACACACCCTGCCCAGCCCACCCTCTGACACACCCAGACATGCCCAGTCCACCAAGTCACACAGGCACAAACTCATTCTTCCCCTTTCCTTCCTCCCAGATATTATCCAATCCAAAATCTTGGGAACCTGTCTCAAACATTTCTCAGTTTATCTCTTCTCTATTTTTATTTCCATTGTCAGCGCCTTAGGCCTTCAGGCAAGATGACTCCTTCCTGGATAGTCCAATACAGTCATATATTGTTTAGCCACAGGGATATGTTCTGGGAAATGTGGTTGTGCAAATAATTTACTTACCCAAACCTAGATGGTGTGAACAACTGCACACCAGGGCTGTAATCTGTTGCTCCTAGGCTACAAATCTGTGGAGCTTGTTTATATACTGAATATTGTAAGTAATTGTAATGCATTGGCATGTGTCTGTATAAACATATGTAGAGGTAGAAAGGTGCAGTAAATAGGAATTTGGGGACCACCTCATCTGTATACTTGACTAACAGTGAATTTATTTTCTTATTTACGTTTTTTTTTTTGTTTTGTTTTGTTTTTTGATAGGACGTCAGTACTCTTCTTGTCCAAGCTTGCCGACTGGTGCCTCTTAATCAGAATCATCTTGTCAGCAAAGTGTCTCAGCTTATCCACCACTTACTTAATAGATTACAGGTAATCGCATAGTAACTTTGGAATTCAGATCACAAACAGGATAAGTAAATACCTTTGAAGCAAGCATAACACCTGTGGTAGGCTGGACTTTTGGGAAGTTACAAAAAAAGCAAATTCCTTACTAAGGATCATATTAAATATAGGTGGCCAAGAAAATATTCTGTATGACTTTAGAAGTTTATCCATTAGAGGTATTCCCTTGCTATTTTTTGGTTCAAGAAACTAATATCATTCAGGCTCTAAAATCCTCTTAGAATTTTTCATGGATGTACACCATGGAAGATGTATTTGACCAGAACACCTAAAGATAAATTGAAATAATCTCTTACCCCTTTCCTACCAATATTTTTTCCCCTTTCCCAAAGCTACCATTCCTGTGGTCTATTTTTGCTCTGCATAAAATGTTAAGTAACTTGAAGAAGACACTCTAGATAAATAGGCTCTTTTTATTCATATCAAGTTCTGTGCTATAGCCCTCTTTTCTCCAGAACCTTTCCCAACTAGCTAAATAAAGCTTAATACTTTTTATGGAATACTTCAAAAAGTATGCTGTTACATGATACCAGTGAGTTTGTGAATGTAGCTAAGAACACAATATATATCATTTAGCATTATGTGAACTAACATTCTTCTGGCTGCAAAAACAAAAAGCCAATCCAGAGTAACTGAACAGTTAAAAAATTACCTAAAGTCAGAAGCCCCACAGGCGATAGCACCTAACAAGAGTGTTTTAGGCATCTTTCCATTCCACTATCCTCAGTGTATGGGTTATTCTCATTAGGTAGCTACCTCAATTCTAGGCATCCCAATGTACAACCAAATCCCAATATGAGGGTCTCTCAATCTCAGCACTACTGATATTTTGATCAGATAATTCTTTGTGGTTGGGAGTCCTGTGTGATGTAGGATATTTATCAACAGCCTTGACCTTAGACATCAAAAATGTCTGTAAACATGATCAAATGTTTCCTGAGACAAGACTGATCCTGTTAGAGAATCACGCTCTTAGCCTAATTAGGACCAGGTGTTATGTAGAAGAGGCAAGCACTCAAATAGAATCAATACGCTGCCAGCTGGGAAAAAGAAGATGAATGCTGGTATGTAACCAGTAGAGTTTGCTACCTAGACTTCCTAAGTGAAATAAGGCTGTTTCCAAGGTTAGAAGTTTTCACACTGATGGGGTACTCTCTTTGTACCACTGGCAACTGGAAAAGTTCCTGACCCACCTATAGCACCTATTGTTCTTAACCTGTCTTCTGTCATTTGACTGACAGTTTGTATCAGTTGTCGGTTTATGATTGGATTAGCCTTTTTAAATCCCAACGAGATTACAAACTCCTTAAGGACAGGAATATGCCAGTTCTCCTTGTTGTGTTGTCCACATCATGGTAGAGACATAATAGCTATTTAGCAGGCCTTACTGGTTGAGTGGTTTGCTTTATGTAAGGCAGTTTAGTTGAATTAAGACATTTCAGTGGATTGAGCCTTACATTATGTGTGTGTCCAGGTTGTCTGTTTGGCTGCTTAAGGAAAAGTTACAACGACTTTGCCAAGTGTACTTTGAGTGGAGGAACTAAAGGGGGAACTAAAGCCTTGTGAAGTGATCAGGTCTTGAAAGTTTTTGATCAAACTTTCAAGGCCTTTAGAGCTGATTTTTTAGACACAAGAAAGATAGGGGCACACATACACACTTTTAAGCAACTTGATTCGGGTGAGCATGTATATCTGAAAAGGATAAAAATACATTTTCGAAATTATATTTTTTCCCTCTTTTGGTAGGTGATTGTTGATGAACAGAACCTGGATTTCCTGTTGGAATATACTATTTCAGCTATTCAACAGTGTAGTTCCTGGACACACATGAAAATTCTTCAAGCCCTGGCAGCTCTGGTTTATTGCAATGGCTCCAAATGTCAAAAGGTGGTTTAACTGTATTCTTTCCTTGAAAGGTTAGGAGCACAGGCGCTGGAGCCAGTAGACCTGTGTTTAGGTTTCTGTCCTGCCGCTAATTAGATGTGTAACTTTGAGCAACCCTTACTTATCTACTCTGAACTTTTTCCCTCATTTGTGGAATGGTTTCCCTGAAAATGAAATCAGATAGTATTGGTAAACTGCTTGGCACTCAATAAATACTAACCATTATTCTTATTATCACTACCTTTCAATTATGCAGCCAAACCTAAAGAACTCCAGTAACTACCTAGGCTGGCAGTGAAGATCCTTTCTGATACTTTTTGTCATGTCTTTGTTCTCCATCTGGAAGTATTACCTAGCAGCTAGTCCTTTGATGCATAACTGCCCTTTGGTTTGAAAAATAATTTTTTTTTCTGAAGAGTAATATTTTCCTAGAAGCTTTTTTTTTTTGACTAAAATAGAAGCTGTTATTTTGTTTCAGTACCTCCCAGACTTGCTCGGCAAGACTGGACTTTTAATGAAGTTGAGTGACTTGACTCAATCTGACCCGGAAGTCAGGAGAGCTGCAGTGCATTGTATGGCGAACTTATGTCTCAGGTATGTGCATCTAGCTAGGTTTTCTAGCAGTAAGAAGATGGGACCTCTTGTAAGCCCTTTGTAGGTGGTTCAGTCTGGCTGAAGTGAGAGCCAACTTGGGAAAACAACCTCCTTTGCATATCCTGTAATTTTAGTATATTATTTTTAATTTTAATGTTTGTTATAAAGAATTTTTATAAATGAAGGGGGAAAAGTAGACTAGGGCCTTATCCTTAAAATAAGCAAAAATGATATATGTGTGATATGTCAAGTTTTTGTTTCCTACTACTATAATTTCTAACCATATACTAAGTTTTTAGAAGGATAGATTCATATGAATTTTTAGTTTGGGTGAGATTTATCTGTCAAGACCAGTTTATTCTAAGAAAATAGAATCAACTAGTTGCGCAGTTCTGTCAGTTGATTCATGCAGTAGAAAATCAGCAGCATAAACGTGAATGGATGAGTGATCTCTTGCCTGCATAGCAGCATTGTCCATTGGCTCAAAGGATTTCTCTTTCTTCACACTTCTCTATAAGCTCCCTTAACTTTTTCCTAGGAAAATCATTCTTCCTTCATCCTATTCACAACAAACTGTCCTATATCAGTAATCACTTAACCACAACTTCACTTCTCATTGCATTCAAGGGTATATTCCAAGTTTGTATTTTTTTTAGTAGTTTGTATTCCTTTTTATGTTCTTTTGCAAGCCCCATTTCAAAGGAGGTTGAGTTTGAGTTTTTTCTGTGTGTGTTGTAGTGTGCCAGGACAGCCATACTTGGAGGAGTCCTACCAAAATGTCTGCTTCCGAGTTTTCTTGACAACCTTACAGTCTCCAAAATCATCTGATATGGATGATATCACATTTTGCATGGTAGGTGGAATTCTTACTAACCTTGTGCTGTAACAGATATTTCTAGAATCAGCAGCAGAACAAGCTATTAATTTGGTGTGTATTTGTTTACAGATATGAACATAAGTGGAATGTTTATGGAACTAAAATGACTGAAATCTTGTTTTTGCAGTTTAAATTACAATAAGTTGTTGTGGTTTGTTTTGTTTCAGTTCTAGGTTTTCAAAGAAAACTGTGACTGTAAAAGCTATATTATTTCAGACTAGTAATTGCTTTTAGACAGAAGGAAAAAAATAGATTTCAACTATATCTGTAATATTTTATTCCTTTTAAAAAAAATATGATGCAGACATGACAGTTTATTAATGTGTTTTAAATTCAAAGTGACACATTTCAGACATTCTGAAAGTTCCTTATAATTCCCTGTTCAGATTAAGTCACTGGGAACAATTTGTTCTAAATGCCCCTGTGTTTTTTTGACATATAAATGGACATATTTTAAATAAGCTATAATAAATACACTGTTTGCAACTTCCTTTTATAAACTGTTTTTGGACATCATTTCATTGCCTATTGGTACCTCATGCTTTCTCACTGCTGTAGCTGGGTGACCTGGAAGAGTGACTTGACTTCTTAAGCCTCCATGTTCCTCATCTCTGAAGCAGGAAAAAAGATATAACTACTATTGTAAGAGTCTCATGAGGACTATATGAAATAAATCACTTAAATTGCTTAACAGAGTGGTTGCTATTGTTGAGTTTCAGATGTAGCAGAGGGTTAACTTTTATAATTGTTTTTATAATTGATAGAAATTAAAGTTTTTCAGTGTTTTCACTATTTCAAACAAGGCTACTATTCACATATTTCCCATGTGGGATGTTTTGCTTAAGAACACACTATTAGCAATGAGATTACAGGGGCAAAAAAAAAAAAAAAAATCAAATTTGATTAGAGTTGCCCTCCAAAAATTCTTCCCACATCTGTTCCTTGTGTTGCTGCTTTGCTTTTTCCTTTCTGATCGCTGCAGTCACTTTTTCACCCTTGCCACATTTTTTTTCCAATAGACATCACTTCATTTTTTTCTAATTTACCATTTGTATATGCTGGTTTATAACCATATATAGTAAAACCAGTTATTTAATAAGAGCACTTTGTTCCTCCAAAAAATAATGAGTAGGTCATCAGCTCTCTTCTGTGAATATTTCTATTTGCTTCTTTCCCTCCCATATAAAGGTTTTTTGCATTACCTAAAGACATTTTCTCCTCTTAATCAGTACTAGAGAATTGATCCTTGGATGACCAAATTTCATCTGCCTTCTAACTTGATCTGTTTTTCTCCTAGTTGTTACAAAATGCATTAAAAGGCATACAGTCACTTCTAAATGTTGGGAAGATGAAACTGACACAGACTGATCAACTTGGAGCTCTTCTAGCTGTGCTAAAGGTAAGACATTGCCCAATCCCCAGGTTTCATTATGCCTAATGGCGGTTTTCCTATTTAAACCCCAGACATAGGACCACTTTATGTCATCATTTCAAGGCTAGCTCTAAGGTATCAGTATTACATTTAAGAATAAAACTTTTTTTTTTAAGATTTATTTATTTATTTATACAGAACTGGGGTACAGGCCAGAGATGTGGAGGGTGAGAGGATTCACCAGGGACAAAGTGGGGAGCAGAACAGGCAGATTGATGAAGTACACTGCTGAGGGGAGCAGCGGGCTGGTCAGGAGAGGTCTGCCTCACCATGTGGATCTCCTCAGGGCCAGGCGGGGATCGAACTCATGTGGAAGTGGCTTAAGCTTCTTATTGCAGTGCTTTAACCCGCTGCGCCACCAGGGAGGGCCTAAGAATAAAACATTTAAGCATACTTAAAATTAGGTACTGAAACAGTAAGCCCTGATTTAATTATGTATCAAAATTCTACTGAATCTCTTAGGAAGGGATAGGTTATGGGTATGATCTGTAGGTGATTTAATTTTGATTATCTTGAACTTGTCTGTACTTGAAAGAAGAACCAGGGCTTCTCCTAGTCTCTTTCTGGGTCAATCAAGACATGTATCAGGGCCCTACCTGGTGGTGCAATGGGTTAGAATGCTGCACTGCAAGCTGGCTGCATCAGCTTCAGCAAGTTTGATCCCCAGCCCTGGAGGTGATCTGCAGGGCACAGTAGACCTCTCCTGACCCACCTGCTGCTCCCCTCAGCAGTGTACCTCGTTGATATGCCTGTTCTACTCCCACTCTGTCTCAGGTGAAGCCTCTCACTGCCCCCACACTTTCTGGCCTGTACCCCAGTTCTGTATGGATAAATAAATAAATCTTAAAAAAAAAAAAAAAAGACATATCAGCAGGTTGCTACCTTTTGACTTTTTTAAGTCTTCCAGGCAGTGGGGAAAGTCATATGAGCCGCTCTTCTTCAGTTTATCCAGGAGATATTAAGAACTTTTTTGCTGAACTTAGGTTCTTTACTTAACATAAATCTATTAATAACTTAGCTTTATCCTAACTAAAATTTTCATTCTTGTGCCATCTCTCCTCCTCCTCAGTAGTCTGACAGATATAAACTGAAGTGATAGATTAATTTAAAACAATTAGATAAAAATTGGATAAAAAATTTTAAATTAATAAAAATAAGTGAACAAAAATCAATAAGATAAACAAAAATCAGATGTAGCCTAATCTGGCCAAACTAAATCTAGCTCGATGAAATTAAGCTTCTAATCTTTAAGCCCTAAACCTTCAACTTGTCCCATTTTCATTTTCTTAATAAGCTTCTAAATATTAACCTTTTTGTCCTGTGTGATCCAGAACATGAAGAATAATTCTGTTTTTTTATTTATATTTTATGTATGTGTTTCCTTAATCATTATTACTAGAAATCCATGTTTCATGGACTCCCTGGACTGAACATAGAGATGCCCACGGTGTTGTACCCCACTCCACTTCCTCAGTATGATGGGCGGCCACCTGTCAAACCACAGCAGTTAGAACCCAGTGCTTCTCGACTGACTGCGGTACATTTACATCTGAATTTAAGTTGTGGGTTGCTTTTCGTTGCTTGATAGCTGTGTTTTCTATAACTTGCATCAATACTGTACCAAAAGCTTACCTTGAATTTGATTTAATTTGGGGAAACCTGCTCATTAACTGGTAGGGCTAGAGTGTCAGGAGTGCAGAGAAAAAGGTTGAGGCATGTAGTGGAGGCCAAATCACAATGGTAAAGAGTTTAGGATTTTATCATATAGAGGATGGAGAGGCATTGAAGAATCCTTTTTTTAAGTTCTAGAATTTATAAAATACAGATACTCTGCAAATGTTGCCCCTCCCCCACAGTAAGTCAAAGGAGATCTTATTGAACAATTGCTGATTAGTGTTGATAGTACAAATTCAAAATGCTTGATTTTATTGCATTTTTTTTTTAACAAAGCAGCACCACTCAAATGTTTTTGGCCATTTATGATGTATCTTCAAGATTATTTCAGTTCGAAGTAATTTAAAATTCTAGATGGATGGCTTTATGATATTACAAGAAATTCAGAGGTAGATGCTCTATAGCAGGCTAATCCACTGACTTTAATGATGCTCTAGATTTTTCTCCCCTATTCTGTTATTAGAGAATCTGATATGATGAATCTGTGATCAGATTTGTATTTTAGAAAAATCATTGTGGTACTAGATAAAAGGACACAGTAAAAACCACATTAATCTAAGGTAGAAGTGAGGAAGGCCTTCCTTAAGAGGGAATGCAGAGGAGAGCAGATTCCAAAGATACCTGTTATGTCAGAAAGAAGGAAGAAAAGAAACTGACTTTACTTAACATCAATATCTGCAAAGCCCAAGTACACTAAACATGCATTTGTGTAGTGAATTTATATATCTCCTACATATTTAGACTGGTACTAGCTGTGTATCTTATTTAGAAGAACTGAGAAAATTTAATCCCTAAGTCATTTTCTGTAGACCTTAATTTTCTTGCAGCACCCCAGTTAAGAAGACTTAATGCCTTCACAACTGTGCAAGATAGGTGGTATTAGCCTCATACCTAACAGATGAGGAAGGTGAAGCTCAGAGAAGCCAAATGATTTTTTCCATTTGAAAAATGGAAAGATGTAGCATTTAAGCCCAGGTCACAAGTCTTGCTCTGTCCTATGTATTTCATACTTTGCTTCTTATAGTCCCATAGGGTATGTATAAGTACTTAGCATAGTGTCTGATGCAAAGGGTACTAAATGCCACTTTTTTCTTTTCTCCTCTCTTCAAACTACATGTTGGGGACATATTTAGGAATTATCAAATGAGAAAATACCAGTAATTCAGTTCAAAGCTATTTTGACATAGCTATCATAAATGTTTTCATTTGCTCTTAACATTAGAATAAAAAGAAAAAATTAAAAGTAAAACCAAAGAAAAGCCAGCAAGGAGAGGAGGAGGAGGAAGAATCCAGTGGTGACAGAGAAGCAGCCACAGTCACTGGCTCGGGCAGAGTGAATCTGCATGAAGGGAACACTCAATGTTCCTCCTCCCTGAGTGTCCAGAGTTTGCCAATAGATGGAAGCAGAGCTGCAGGAGAAAACCAAGTCTCCTCACCCTTCCATTCTTCCAGTTGGAAAAGGGTCAGCAGTAGCGAGTCGGAATATTCTGATGCTGAAGGAGGCATGCAGAGTAAAATTAGGTAGTAGTATCTTTTTATATGTTTATACCTACATCTGTGTTGCCTGTAAATTTATAACTGCTTAGAAACCTCAGACTTTTCATCCTCTCCACTTTGCCATGCTTTCTTGAATCTGCCTTTGTTCCTGCTGTTCCTATCTGCCTCGAATACTCTTTCACCCACTTCTTTTTTTTTTTGGCCTGCTGCCTTGCTGACCACTACATACTGTCAGTCTAAGGTCAGCATTCATATTCTTTGAGAAATCATTTTTGACATGTCCCTCTTGCCCCACTTTCTTTAGGCACCCCTTTTGTGAGACCTTTTGGGTTATTGCTACCTTGGTGTCAATCATAATGTGTTATAGTTAATCTCTTTAACTGCCTGTTTCTTTTGTTAAAAAGTCTGACAAGGGTAGGGCTTAGTTTGTGTCTGCCCGACTCAGCATCATGCCTGATACCTACCCAGGATCCTCAGTACATCCTTGTTGGATAAGTGGATAGCTTGCATGTTTCATAGCTAACACTAGTTTTCTAACATTAAATGTTGCCTCTTAATTCTCTAGTTGTGTTTTAATTTATTTTACTAACTAGTTACATAAGCAAATTACTTTAAAATGTTTTGATTGAATTTTGAAAAATAATTTTTATTATTTGGCATCTAAGGGCTTATTCAGAATGTTGGATTTCTCAATGTGTCATTTCATTTGAAGAGCGAACATGTCACATATATAATTTTAAGAACTATTAAAAGACCTTTCTTTCTTGTCTTGGGTTCTAAAGGTCTTACCAAGCCAGAGTTCGCCAAGGAGCATTAGCTTGTTTCCTTTCTACTGTAAAATCAATAGAAAAAAAGGTTCTTTATGGCTACTGGTCAGCCTTTGTTCCTGATACACCTGAGCTTGGAAGCCCTCAGTCTGTGTCCTTGATGACTCTTACATTAAAAGATCCTTCTCCAAAGGTAAGAACCTTGAAATTCTAAGTGTTAAACTAGGAAGAAAAATTTCACAGGTCTGTCTTTCCTTTACCCTGTCTTATTTGAACACAAATCATATTTCTACTGACCCACGTCCTGATTGGAAACAGCTGAGCAGGGAACAGGCTAGGAAGAAGGTTTATGTGAGTCAGATATAGAGCACTGTGTGGTCACCTCCTGCCACAGGGCTTGCTTGAAGAGTGAACCCCTTGAGTTAGAACTTTGTGTTCTCTATGAGCTGCACTGTGCTGCTTTCCCTTTTATGAAAATGCTGTGATTTTTATTAATTGGAAAATATAAATAAGGCTTAAATGCTCAGAGGAATATGATGTTACTTAAGAAAACTGTAAGGCTTAGAAAATCTTAGTTTTATGACTATAGGACATAGAATTCATGATCCCAACAGTATTTTTTTCTTTCAACATTTCCGTATTTTTTCAATTCATACATAATAATTGTTTACATAGTTTAATGAGAAAAACCTTATAAAAAATAATTCAATATTGGATAACCACAGTAGAGAGCTATAGCTGATCATATATTTGCCTCTTCTTGGATGTGTTATATACAATTCCTTGCCATAAGTTAGCCTCTTAACTAAGGAAGGAAAATATTCTACTAAATGTAGATTCTCTTTGAAATATTGAACATTTAAAAGTTATGCTGAGGGCCTCCCTGGTGGTGCAGTAGTTAAAGTCTAGCTATCTAGCTATCGCCAGCAATTGATACCTGAGTTCCATCCTTGGCCAGGAAGGTGACCCACATGGCACAACAGACCTCTCCTGTCTTGCCTGCTGCTCCTCTCAGCAGTGTATTTCAGTACATCTGCCTGTTTTGCTCCCCACTCTGTCTCTGGTGAATCATCTCACCACTCCCACCCATCATGCCTCTGGTCTACACCCCAGGTATGCCATAAATAAATACAAATAAATCTTTCTTTTTTTTTTTTTTAAACAAAAGTCTTGCTGAATGACTGCCCTCTCAACATAAAAAGCTCCAGTTAGACCAATGGTATTATTTTCTGTTAAGATTTTTGAGTTTAAAAAGGCAGGGGCTAACAAGCCAAAAAAATACTAGAACTTCAATGATCATCTCCTTGAATTGCTATTACTAAAGAAAATTCCTGGGGCAAATTAACCAATTTCAGTAATATTCCTTTTTTTTTTTCATCTATGATAGTCATGACCAGAGCTAATTGAGCTGAAAGATTTTGACTTCTGAATATATCAATTCATTACTTTCCACAACTTGCTCTTTAATTTTATTTGGTTTGTGAACTGTTGGTTGGGACTGTGGTCTTTAGTTGCTTTTTACAAATGTGGGAGGTTCAGCATAACAGCTAACTCTTTTCAGACCAGCCATTTAATAAGGGTTTGGCCTGTGGACTATGTCTGACCCACTACCTTTTTATTATATGACCCATGAGCTGAGAATGGGTTCTATGCTTTTAAATAATTCTTTTAAAAACCAAAAGATTATTTTATGACATGTGAAATGCATATTTCATTCTCTATAAGTTTTTATTGGGACACATAGTTATTATTTTATATAGTGTCAGTGTCACCATGGTAGAGGTGAGTGGTTGCAGCAGAGACTGTGTGACTATAAAGTTTAAAATACGAAGTATGTATTTCTGGCCCTTTAGAAGAAGCTTATTTTCTGTACACATACTCTCCTACTTCCTCTCCCCGACAAAATTTTCTAATACGTCATTAACTTCCTAACTTTATTAAGTGATGATGTTTAATTCCAAAGGCTCAATACTGCTATGCTATAAATTTGTAGCAATAAATCTTCAGTCTTTATTTTTTATTCCACTTTACAAAAGACCTGCAAAAATGATTTATTTCTTTGTTACTTTAAGATATATAGTTGAAAATTTTCTGGAAAACCTTTTCACCCCAAACTCACATATGCTTTATGAAAAGTAAATATTTAGGTTAGAGCCTAGAATTAATTCTTATTCCCTGCTTTTAAGAAATCTAAACTAGCACTTTTGAGTGAGCTGGCCATAAAGGGTATAGTCCTCTTTCATATTCTGGTCCAGTATTTATTACCTACATTCTATTTTGATTAAACTTTCCTTTGGTTTCTTTTCTGATGTTTAAAACCCACAAAATCAGTAGTGTACCAATTGAAAGTAATCTTTTAAAATCTTACAAAGAGAATCTTCATGCATTGATAGTTTTCCTGGACAGCAGCCTATTGACAAAAATGGACATACTTTTCTTTCCAGCCATAGGTTATATTTAGTAATACTCCTTTCTTTTACTATTAAAGACCCATACTGCCAGCAGTGTTATTTACTGCACCTTAGAATTTTTCTAAAAAGTTAGATGACTTAATGGTGCCTGCCAAGCTGGATATACACAAAGTGCTTAATATTCTGTTGAATTACGATTGAACACACATAGATGCTTCAGGGTGGACTATAAAGCAGAATGTCCTTAGGTATTTGATATGAAACAGATTCTGGATGTGTATATATTTTACCCCACTAACTATCTCTCTTGTTAGTTGGTTTATGCTTGAATAAACTCTGTCTCTAATCTTTTATTTTCCTGCTCACAATTTCAGTTTTTTGTACTACAGTATAGATTACATTTATTTCTTACTGTAGAAAACCTAACAGCAATGTCATTTTTTGTTTTTGTTTTTAAGAAGTGGGGTTAGGGATACAGTGGTTGCAAAGGCTAGTTTTAGGACGTGGTAATTAAATTGTTTTTAATTCTTCTGACTAGAATGATCCTAAATATTTTTTGGGCTTTTAAATGACCCTATGTGCTTTCAGAATTTTAAATGTATTTGGGAAGAAGAAAATCCAGTTCCTGGTCTTTGAGTAACTGATATGAGTCATCCTAAAATTTCAGACACGTGCCTGTGCTTTGCAAGTTTTATCTGCCATCTTGGAAGGTTCAAAGCAGTTTCTTTCTGTTGCTGAAGATACCAGTGACCACAGAAGGGCTTTTACTCCCTTCTCTGTAATGATCGCTTCCAGCATTAGAGAATTACATAGATGTCTATTGTTAGCTTTGGTGGCTGAGTCGTCTTCACAGACCCTTACTCAGATAATTAAGGTAAATGTGCCCATCTATTGGTAGGTACTGGGGAGGGGTTAATGTTTCTATTTTTTATAAAATTTTATGTTGTATAAAAGTAACTTAAGAATATTTATCCAAGTGGTAGTTTCATTTGGATATATTGCTGATTTGTCTGATCTCACATACAAGCTCTTTATGTCCAAAAATATGATTTATTAAATATTTTTATCTTTAGTAATAAGGGGTACCAATGAGCTGTAAGTGCTATTCCTCCTACCCTCACAAAAGTAAAAAAGGTTTGATTGTTTTGTAAAGTGCAAAGACTTCTTTTTCAATTCTATAAAATTATGTGTCTGTACTGTGGCTTAATCAGGCCTACTGATGAACTCTTCTTTGTGTTTTATAGTGCCTTGCAAATTTAGTATCAAATTCACCTTATAACCGTCTGAAACTCAGCCTGTTGACCAAGGTGTGGAATCAGATAAAGCCTTATATCCATCATAAAGGTTGGTGGTGGTTTAAAATTGACTCTTGCTTTATGTTATAAAAATACAGCTTTAGATTTATTTAGATTATTAGTTTAAAAAAGCATTTTTATAGCTCTAAGATATCTTGTATTAACTCTCTTCAAGTTTTGAGGGGACCAACTATTGCTAAAACCCCAATTTTAACCCCTGTGTCCCAGGTGTAATTCACTGGAAGGAATTGAACTCTTGAATTCACTGCAGATACTGTCACTTTAGTGCTTAGGTGCAGTAACTGGAGTATCCCTTTGGAATTAGGATTGAGGAAAAGTAAGGGGTACCCTGTACCTATAGTGTCTTAGAGTTCCTTTCTTATAGGCATAAAGAAAGATGACATCATCTTTTGGGGAAAAAAATTAAATATTAAGCCTAATTTGCTTAAATGATCTTCTCTGAACTTCAGATAAAATTTTAGACCCTCAGATACCCACTAGCTACAGTCTTATTGTTACAGGGCAACCCGATGTGAACTGGGTTGCCTGTCTGTGGGTCCTAATCCACACGCTTAAGATTCAGTTGTACTGCAGATATACACAAAAAGATCAACAATGGGGTTATTTACAAGGGGAAAGGAAAGAAACAACTGAGGGAAAGAGAGAAAGATATGTTAACTAGAGTATCCTACCCATTCTGCTGACTTGGAACCTAGCACACTGAAAGCTGATCAAGAGCCAAGCCATCAGCCGCCAGCCATCAGGCCAAAGGAGCCAGCGAGCCCCAGCTCAACATGGCTCCTTTATATATCCCAAAAGTCTCAGAATGGCTGCTTAGCTCCACCCTTAGATCCTTGCAGTCCTCCTTTGTCATTTCAGTGACTGGAGTAGGGTTGGAGTTGCAGTTTCAGTGACTGGAGTAGGGGGTGGAGTCCACAAAACTTGTATCTGCAGAGTTCTTTCAGGACATCCTTTTCCTCTAACATTATTTCCTGACTTATTCTTGCATATAGAATATATGTGCTATTTAGAACACTTATTTTTCTTTTGTTTGCAAGTGTTAAGTCATATTCTGATAGTTTTTCAGTTTGAAATAGAACTTGAAGGAGACATGAATGTCTTGTGACTTCACTGCATAAGTGCTGGGCTCAGAGTCAGTTCAGACATCTGCAGTCCGCTACCACTGTTGCCATAGCACAGCCTCTCCAAATCATAATTTCCTTCTAACAGGGATGATAATACCTATCTTACATAAGATTTTTTTGAGGCCTAAGTCATGTAATGATGTGTAAGCTGAGTCCAGTTCCCTCCTTAACCAGTATGTAAAATGGAACCCAGAAAGATAGGTTTTGACTTAAGGCTCCTCATCAGATTAATGGCAATAATAAGGTGAAAACATCCCAAGCCCCCAACTTTTCTTCATCTGCAAACTGAAGGAAGTGTGCCATATTTCAGAGTTCATTTTCAAGTGTCTGGCATTGTCCTCCAGTAACATTTTATCATTAAATGTTAAAATGTTACAAAAAAATGAAAAGAACAGTAACATGAACTCCTACATGAACTCCTATACCTCTGTATAGACTTAAAACTACCATATTTGCTTTCTTTTCATATATGTATATATGTGTTTATGTATATAGATATAAGTACTGTGTGTATATATATCTGTCTATATTCATATACATCAATTTTTTTTTTTACCTTAACTGTTTGAAAGTAAGTTATGGACACGATCTTTTTTTTTTTTTTTTAAAGATTTATTTATTCATATAGAACTGGGGTACAGGCCAGAGATAGAGGGGTGGTGGGGATTCACAGAGACAGAGTGGGGAGCAGAACAGGCAGATCAATGAAGTACACTGCTGAGGGGAGCAGTGGGCTCCTCAGGAGAGGTCTGCCACATCGTGTGGATCAACTCTGGGGCTGGGGATTGAACTCACACTGAAGCGGCTATGACTAGCTTGCAGTGCTGCGTCCTAACCTGTTGCACCACCAGGGAGGGCCCACATGAAAATCTTAAAGACAGTCTCCTACAAAACACAGTACCATTCTCATATGTAAGAAAATTACATCGATTCCATAATATCATCTACTTAATATCTAGTCCACATTGAAATTTTCCATTTTTCCCAAAGGTCTCTTATAGCTTTTTAAAAAAAACCAAAAAAACCTGAGTTCATTTAAGGTTCATGCATTGCGTTTAGTTATTTTGCCACTTCAGTCTTTTTAAGTCCCACCACCTGTTTTTTCTTTGACTATTTGAAGAGTCTGAGTCAGTGTTTTACAGAATGTCTCTTTCTTACTTTGTTGGATTGTTTATTATGTTTTTTAACTCGTAGTCTGTCTCCTATATTTCCTGTAAGTTGCAAGTTAGGGTAGAGGTTTAATTAGATTTAAGTCTTAAGAGGTATGCCATAATTTTTAATTGTCCATAGAAGTAATTATGATTTTTATGACAGCTATTCCCATGATAATAGGTTCTTACTGTTTTCTCTGATAGATGTTAATGTTCGTGTGTCAAGTCTCACACTCTTGGGAGCCATAGTGTCTACTCATGCACCGTTACCTGAAGTTCAGCTACTTTTACAACAACCCTGTACTTCTGGACTCAACAATAACAATTCAGCAACTCCTCACCTCAACCCTCCTGATGGCTGGAAGAAAGCACCTTCAGGATCCTTTCTAGAGGAAGGATCAGTTAGCTCACCTAAAGGCTCTCCAGAGCCTTGTTGGCTCATTCGACTTTGTATTTCCACTGTTGTGCTGCCCAAGGAGGATTCCTGCTCAGGTAGTGATACTGGTTCTGCAGCAGGAGCCATCTATAAACCATCCCCCATTCGACTGGAGGCCTTACAGGTAGGAGATTGCTGTATCTTGTTTGAAGTGAAAGTAATGACCCTTTCTTCACAGTCTGATTATGGGGCATCAGTCTGAGAATCATGTAAAACTGAGCCATGCGTTGGTGGTGTTGGTGAGAATTGTATTTATAGGTGCAATTGGTTGTTGTTTTGTTACAGGTGAGGTCTTGGTTGTAAAATGTCAAAGTCATTACTTTCTGTTGCAGATCATTTTAGTTACTTCAGATATTATATGATATGGGTGCAAATAGAGTACATAATAGTTCTGAAAGAAGCTATACAGTTAACCTTTGATTTCTATAAGTAAATGTTTAATTCTGTGTAAATTTCTCTTTCATTATCTATCTGCTTAAAGACAACAAAATAATTGTTCCTCAGAGGAAGAATACAAGCCTAAATACAAGTATTCATGTTTTGTATACTCAAATACAATCTAAGTCATAGGAGTCTGCTGCAAATTATTTGGCTATATTAAGTAAATCCTTTGATTTTTAACTCAGTATTAGTTTCTTCCCAGGCTTACATGAGATATTAAGGAACAATTTATAAATTATAATAATAAGGAACATTTTATAAATTATAATCATAAAATTACATAATTATTGATTTTAACCATATAAATAAAGATTATGATTGTTTTTCATTTCATTCAACATCACATTTCAACCTCTTAATAAGTGTGAGTAATTTCTAAAACAATAACACACTTTCCTGAATATTATTGCCTTGCATTCAGATCTTACAGTTAATCCCTTGTTCTCTTTTCAGGTTTTGGCTCATCTGGCAAGGGGCTACTTTTCAATGACTCAGGTATACTTGATGGAGCTTGGAGAGGTGATTTGCAAGTGCATGGGGGAAGAAGATCCATCAATTCAGCTTCATGGAACAAAGGTAATTTTCATTAAAAGCCACATCCTTTTTTTCTCTTCACTTTATATTCTACTTTCTGCTATATATTAAGCCTGAGGTTTATTCAAGAGGTTTCAGGTAGGGAAGTCATACTTACCCTAGTAAGTATGAATTGAATTGAATCAATGTATAAACCCAATGAGGTAATTATTACTTTATTGCCAAATCTGTAACTGGTGATGTTGCTTCTGGAAAGAATGCTTCTAACATGGAATTAGTGAGAAAAGAAAGAGAATCATTTGGAAATTATTTTTCCCCTTGATTAGCGGTAATGTCCAAACTGAAATGGTTTTTACCTCTTGAGTTCTAATAGTCTGATTTGATCATCTATTTCTTTTATCTCGTCAGCTTCTGGAAGAACTGGGTACAGGCTTAATACAACAGTATAAACCAGATTCTGCTGTAGTGCCTGATCAGAGAGTGCCAGTCACCTTGGTAAGTAAATGTCTGTTTTCTTAGTGCATCAGTCAGTTTTATTTTGAAGCTTGGTGATAAAGGGAGTAAACATTATGGATGCTTCCAGTGTCAAAAACTATGATTTAAGTTCTTAGGAAGATATAATACTAATATGAATTGATTTTATTTGCATTTGAGTTTATTTGGAGTTTAGTAGTGCTAGGGTTATGTGTATTTAGTTATGATTATGTATAACCAGTCAGCAGTGGAAAACCAGTTGTATAAAATGTGATTTGGTTACTCATCTGTCCAAGAGTCTGACCATAATAGTGGGAAAAGCCGAGGATTTGGAACTAGGAGCTTTGGAATCACATCTGGGAGCACCACTTAATGGATTTGTGATTATGAGCACAGTTTCCCTTATTAGAGTAGAATAATAACCCTTGACTTATAGGGTTATTGAAGATTGAATGAAATAAACAGGCTAATGCATAGTAGGTGTTCATTGAAGGTTGATTCTCATAATTTCCTTCCCACAGTGATTCCTATTAAATTCTGTGATCTTATGTTGTTTCTGTTGTCTGCTCATTCTGCCAGTTATTTGGGGGAAGAGTATGAGACTCTACCAAAAAAAAAAATACTGCCTCCACTTAGTGCCTCAAGTAAAATCAACTGAGCACTTAATGTTTTCGACCTTTGCCCTCCTCATTTTACCTATTTTTTCCTCCATTGTATTTCCATCATCTTAATAGTGAATTAAGAATGTCTAGCCTTTGCCTCTTCCTTAGACTGTCATTAAAGCCAAAGTGGTAGCAATTGCTAGAAGATGAATTGAGCTTTGCTATCAGAAAGACCTGGGTTTGAGTACAAACTTCTCTTGCTAGTGTTGTGATTTTGGGTAAGACTCTTCACTGTTCACACTGGTATTATTTCATTTATAAGAAGGGAAATGTTTTCTATATTGCTGAGTAAATTACCTAAACACTTTTGCAGTTTAAAACAATATATACTTACTTCCTCACATAATTTGTGTGTCAGACATCTGGAGTAGCTTACCTGGGTGGTTTTGGCTCAGGTCTCTCAGGAGGTTGCATTCATGATCTTGGCACTAGGTGCAGTCAGTTGGTGACTGGGGCTAGAGGGTCTTCTTCCAAGGTCACTTACTTTCATAGCTGGCAAGTTAGTGCTGGTCATTGGCAAGAGGCCTCTTCTCAGTTGCTCCTCTCGAGGATCTCTCCAGAGACTGCTCTAGTGTTTCCTTGATGTGTTAGCTGGCTTTCCCCTTAATGAGTAAGTTAAGAGAGCTAGAGAAAGACAGAAGCTGGAGAGAAAGCAGCAACTAAAAGATTCAATTCGAGCTCTACCTCTAGGTCCCATGCTTTCTGACATGAGACTTCTGGTCTGTTCTGGGTCCCTGATTCTTTTGCCCAAAGGGATCAAATTGAAAGAGCCCTAGCTAGGTAGTGGTTGATCTGTCTTCTTGATCAGCTCTGCTACTCATTAGCAATTTACATTATGTCTGTGCCTTAGTTTCTTTATATGCAAATGGAGGTAATGATAATATACTTCAACTTAGTTGTACCAGGGTTTAAATTGAATTGATAACTTGTAAAGCACTTAGAGCAAATGCCTTGCAAATGGTAAGTGCTATTCAAAAATATTGGCTGTTACTGCTATGGTTTTTAATATTGTAATCTTCATCATCTTCCTCATAATCATTATCACTCATAGTTTAATTTTAGCAGACTACATTTCCTAATCAGTAAAATGTAAGGATTCAATACCTTGTCTTCTAAAGTTAGAAGAATTTACAAGAAGTGAAAGAATTTATAAAAAACAGTTCTTGGGCCCTCCTTGGTGTCACAGTGGGTTAAAGCACAGCACTAAGAAGCTAAAGCAACCTCTGCATGAGTTTGATCCCCACCTGCCCCAGAAGGTGATCCCACATGGCGTGGCAGACCTCTCATCCGCTGCTCCCCTCAGCAGTGTACTTCATAGATCTGCCTGTTCTGCTCCCCACTCTGTCTCTGGTGAATTCTCTCACTGCCCCTGCACCCTGTAGCCTGTACCCCGGGTCTGTATGCATAAATAAATAAATCTTAAAAAAAAAAAAAAGCAGTTCTTTAAGGAAAAATGGTGTGGTGTAGTAGTCTGTGGTAAATTTAGGGTCAAGTTGGTTGGACTGTTCTCTTGGGCTACAGTTTGAACTGTGCCCTGTTCCAGGTGGTGATGTTCTGGACTATGATGCTGAATGGTCCATTACCCAGAGCCTTGCAGAACTCAGAGCACCCGACTCTCCAGGCAAGCGCCTGTGATGCCCTGTCTTCCATCTTGCCGGAAGCCTTCAGCAGTCTGCCGGTAACCTGAATTGGGGGTGGGGTGGGGGGTGTTTCTCATCCTTAAATGACACACCTGAGCATCAGAACTTGATTTTGATTCTTTTTCATTTTGAACCAGTACTTAACATCTCTGAGGAAAATGTACTTTACTTGAGTGAGGGGTGAGGGCAGTGAGAACAACAAATGTGTAAATTAAAATCTTAATATCTCAGGAGATCCTTTCTTCCCTGTGCTTTAGAAGTCAGATGGTAGAAATTGGGATAGAGACTTTAAAGTCAGAATGATTTCAAATTTAAAAGACCTAGGTTTAAATCCCCATTCTTTTATTTTCTTGCTCTTTGATTAGCGTAACTTCTGTAAAAGCTAGTTTTATCATCCATAAAATGGGAATATCTGAGTAAAAAGTGAAGTATGTGAAAATACTTGTCCAACTGTGATATTTAAACTACTTGTTTTTTTGGTCCTTAATAGCACTTATATTTGTTCTTGTTTACATAAATTAGCTTTTATAAAGAAGGCAACTCGAGTGAAGTAGGAGAGTAAAATGCCCTAAGTCACTCGATGCTAGAGGTTAAATGTGATCACAGATGTCTCTGTCCTGCACTAGGCTGCTCAGCTAATAATTGAACCAAAGTAGTCTTAAGATCTGGATTGAACTCCTGAAAAAGCAAGTCAGAGACATTGGTTCATGATTCTTTCATTCTTTCTTTTTGCCTCCCTTTCTTGTACAGGGTGACAGGCAGATCCTGTGCCTTACGATGCTGCTTGGACTGAATGATAGCAAGAATTGTCTGGTGAAAGCTGCAACCTCACGAGCCCTTGGTGTCTATGTGCTTTTCCCCTGTCTCAGACAGGTCAGGGTGATCCTTCGTAGCTCTGCAGTTTTATAGTCTCTGTCAGTATTCTTTTTTGGTGGGTACAGAGCCTTGGAATTGGGTAGGAAAGGAAAATACCTGTAATGGTTTCTTTAATTGCTGACTAAAATATAATAATACATGTAGTTCATTTATTTTTATTTACTTGACATACTGCCCCAACTCCTTAGTGCTCAGAATATACTAAAATTAATGAGTTTACTGAGAAGGAAATTAATTTCTCCTTTAGTTTTAACTTGTGACAGCTCACTGAAAGGAGTGCAAACAATAGAATACATTTTGGAAATGCATTTCACTGTCAAAACATTGTTTTCAGAAGTGGGGACTATTCCAAGCAGCTGTCAAGGCTGGGTTATAAGGTATTCATGAAAGTAGAAATCCATAGATTCCTTCAGCTCCAAAACCATGGAGCAGTTCCCCAGGGATTTTAATGAGTGTTCAGACTATAATATAGAAACAGTAAAATTTATGATAATGGCTAATAGCTTTATCTGAAAATAAATTGGAGAATTTCAAAGGTAGCAGTATGAACTTAAAATAACTTCAGTGTTTTGTCTTATAGGATGTCATATTTGTTGCAGACACAGCAAATGCAATACTGATGTCACTTCAAGACAAGTCTCTGAATGTCCGGGCCAAAGCAGCCTGGTCCCTAGGCAACCTGACAGACACTTTGATTGTCAACATGTAGGTGATTCAGCTCTTTTCCCTTAGGTGACTTCTAAAGCTGAGGTCCCAAGAGAGTATCTTTGATTCCCCACTATAAAAGAACTAGCAATAATTCCTCCATATTATATAATTTTCATGTTATATATTAGAATATAAAATATGTATTAGTATAAACTAATATGTATAACAGTCATACTTTGTAGTGATTTATATATTAAATATAATTATTATACATATTTTATATAACAATGATTAAGTGATCAATTGTATTATTCAATCTTCCTGTTTTCCTATTTTTGTAACTAATAAAATAGCTAGTCTCAGTATTTATTAGTAATATAAAATAATAAAAAATACTGCATGCTGAAAATCAAGTTAATATATCCACATATAGAAAATGTGGAAAATACAAAAGTAAAAATTCAAAACCTTAGTGATGGATAAATAATTGCTTTTTTTTTTTTTTTTTCAGTAATATATCCCAATGTAAAGGAGAAAGATTGAAACAGTATAAAGGAGTTTTCAGTGTAAAGCCTTTCTCCTCCTCCTCTAGTTCACTATGTCCCCTTCCATTATTCATACAGTGTCCTGCTTTTGCTCTGTCTTGTCTGTTATCTCTGATGTAATATATCTACCAAACAACATGTCTAAGCGTTTGCATGATTACTGACTTTTTTTTAAAAATTGATTTATATATGCATACAAGAACTGGGTACAGGTTAGCGGTGTGGGGTGAGAGGATTCACCAGAGACAGAGTGGGGAACAGAACAAGCAGATCTACTGAAATACACTGCTGAGGGGAGTAGCGGGAGGGTCAGAAGAGGTCTGCTGCGCCATGTGGGTCAGCTCCTTGGCTGGGGGTCGAACTCATGCTACGTTGGCTGCAGATAGCTTCACAGTGCTGCGCTTTAACCCACTGCACCACCAGGGAGGGCCTGATTACTGACTTTTTTATAAATAATTATAGTCATCACTGTGTGGTGTTGAACATTTAAGTTGTTTTAGTCTATATACAGTGAATGTTTTTGTACATGAAATCTCCATTTGGAGATACTCTTTTGGTTATAGTTCTCAATGTGGACCTACTGGGTTAAAAGGCATGACCTATAAATTCTTGGTATAATTTGAACAGATTTGTTGAGCTGTTTTTCTAAAGATTTTATTGTTACAGAAGTGAGTATATATTTGTATATGTATATACCCAAGTGGGTTTTACCTTTTTACATGTTTTGCCTGGTTTGGGTCTACAGGGAAACACCAGATCCGAGTTTCCAAGAAGAATTCTCTGGTCTCCTGCTCTTAAAGATGTTACGATCAGCTATAGAAGCCTCTAAGGATAAAGACAAGGTAGACTCATAACCAAACCTAGTATTTCTCACTTACTTAGTATCTTACAATTTTATCCTAGCATATCTGGTAGGTTGGTGCATTGTGATGGCCATCAAATTTACCACAGTTCAAAGGAGATTGAGAGTATACTCAGTTTGTATACTGAGGGCAGCCAGTGGCCCTTTCCATGCTCGTATAGGTTCTTTCCTATCTTATGAGAAATCAGCACCATTTGTAATATGCCCATGTTTGTTTTAGTATAAACCTGTTGCTGTTGTATTCAGCTTTGAGTAGAATTGACAAGTCCAAAAGACAGCCAGCCCTTGACTTCAAATATCCTGTTTACTAAGTATAAAAAGCATAGACTTGAGCTTATGAGTCAGGCAGACATGGTTTAAATCCTGACTTGTCCTTTGGTGCATTAATTAACCTCTCTGAAAGGCAATTTCCTCATCTATAAAATGTCCTCACATATGCCTCATTGGCCTCTGAGATGTCTTATGTTATAGCATCTAGCATAGCACCTGACCTTGTCAGGCTCTTACTTTAGTATCATGGTTCTCAAAACCTGGTTAAGTCTGACATCTGATTAACTCAATCAGAATTTCTGGGTCAAAGCTGGAAATTAGTTTTAAGAAAAGAAAACTCCTAGGTGATTTTAAGAAGCTGCAAAGGTTAAGACTATCTAGCACAGAGTGTTAGATTAGAAATTTGATGCGTAGCTTCTCAGCTTGCTACAAATCAGCATTGTCCTGCTCCCTTGGACCTTGCATACCATCTCTATAGATTAAGATGGAACTGATGCCCAATATCTAACACTGAAAAATCTGGGGCAGAAGCATCTCTCTGATGGCTCAGAAAGTTAACTGCACAAGACCTTGCAGAGTTCTAAGAACTTGCCCTTAGCAATCTGCATTTTTCATTAACTTCCTTGTTTTAAGATGTTTGGTTTTTTAAAAACTGAAACATTGTTTTCTGAAACATCTCTAGCAAGACCAATTTCTAATGGGTTTACATTTTATTCTAGGTAAAAAGCAGTGCAGTCCGTGCCCTTGGAAATTTACTTCACTTCCTGCAGCCATCTCATGTAGAAAAACCCAGATTTGCTGAAATCATTGAGGAGTCTATCCAGGCCCTAATTTCTACTGTTCTCATTGAGGCTGCCATGAAAGTCCGGTGGAATGCTTGCTACGCAATGGGAAATGTATTTAAAAATCCTGCTCTTCCATTAGGTAGGAAAGTTTAACCTCTTCTCTTTGATGGAAATGTTTTTGGACATATAGTCTACATTGATGTTAGAGTTGTTTCCACAATGCTAGCTGACATGGTATTCAAAAGAACAGAAATGTACAGAACACTCAAGTTTAGGGGAATGGTAAAGTGAACCATGGTGTGTGTATTTTTGTTCCCCCAATAGGATATTTTATTACCATTTAAGATTGTTTACAAAAAGTCTTACAATCTAGGAAAATACTTCTGATGGTAAGCAAACTAAAACCAGATATGACATAAATGGGTAGGAAAAAAGACTGAAAGGAAATTATCTTAATGATAATTTCTGCACAAGGTAAAGGATAGATTTTTCTCTGCTTTTATTTTCTAAATTTTGAGCATATATTTGAGCATGGGAAAAACAATGAGCATATATTTTAACATGGAAAAAAACTGTCATGAAAGAAAGAAGATACAAATCAGATATCTCACATGAACCTGTGGTACTGTAGTGAACTGCTGTATAAAAGGGTGTCTGCTGTAGTTGTGACAGGTCCTTGCCTGTCATCAGTGGTTAATAGCTGCTTGGACATGTGGATCATTGCCTCCAGATCCAACTGCCTTTTTTTTTTTAAATCTGTTTGTCTCTGTGAGAAGATTTGAAGCGTAGGGTACGTTTCTGAAGAGAGAACCATTCTGGACCAGCAGAGCAAGCCTCAAATTAGTGAATCTGGCTCTGATCCCCTGTATTGCCAAGAGCAGGCAGACCAGTCAGTTGACAGCCTGGAAGTAGTAGCCACATGGCTTTTCCTGCTGCAGAAATAGCCTTAGGTGAATTTTGGCTTTGGTGCTCACCAAGTCAGGTATCTGGTTGACTGTCTTCAGAGGCATCAAAAAAATGGGAAAGGCTGAGAGAGTCAAAGGAAACTGCATTTTACTTAGTGGCCAATCTTGAGCATTAAGAGCTCCAATACTCCTCCCCACACCCCAAAGGAGTAGGTTGTGAGTAGTAGTAATTCTGATGAGGAAGAAAACAGGTTGATTTTCTAGGGCCAGCAGGGAGGGATAGAAGTCAAAAATCAAGACATCTTCTGAAAATTAGAAAATTGAACCTTTAACTAATCTGAGTACTATGTTCTCCCAGTCACTGCCTAGATAGTACTTTCTTTTTCTTTGCAATAAAGTGCACAACTTGCTATTGTCAGAGGAGTGTCTGGATGCTAATCTGGGTGGGGAAAGGATCTTTTGCCAGTACAGACAAGGCTCGGCATAGTTACAGCTTGCACACTGCTCAGAAGCTTGCAACTGACAGGACAAGTGGGACTGCACACCAGTCAGTGCTGCCCCCACCAGGCCTTGTCCATCAGGACAGAATCCTCTCAGGAGAAGCCTCTTCTAAGTTGCTGAAGTGCCTAATTAGGGGATCAGAGCCAGATTCACTAACTTGAAGCATGCAGGTTTGGGAGTCAGTACTCACTACACACATGGGGGCCCCACAGGCGGTCACCACCATGATCTTTTTGTATTACTAGGATAATAAAATGAAAACATAAAATGAGTAATTTGAACACTGGTGTATATGCTTGCTCTGTTCCCTTCTTCCCGCCCTCACACACTTATATCTAGGCCTATATTTGTTTTAACGACTGTGAATTCTTTCTAGGAACAGCCCCATGGACATCCCAGGCCTACAATGCCCTGACTTCAGTTGTGACATCATGCAAGAACTTCAAAGTGCGCATCAGATCTGCTGCTGCCCTTTCCATTCCGGGCAAGAGAGAGCATTATGGGTCTGTTGACCAGTATGCTCAGATCTGGAATGCATTAGTCATTGCCCTACAGAAGAGTGAAGATACCACAGACTTTTTGGAATTCAAGTACTGTGCCAGTCTGCGGACACAAATCTGCCAGGCGCTAGTTCACCTCCTGAGCGTTGCCAGTGCCTCAGACCTGCCCTGCATCAAAGAAACTCTTGAGCTGAATGGGGACATGGTCCAATCATATATCCTGCAGTTTTTAAAATCAGGAGAAGAGGGAGATGACACCAGAGCACCCCACAGCCCACAGGAAAGAGATCAGATGGTGAAAACTGCCCTGGAGCACGTGAGCGGTATTCAGCCTCTGACTGGGGACTCAGCCCAAAGGGCCATCGTGGGCTTTTTAGAAGATATTCTCACTGTTTATTTTGATTCATCTGGATCACAAGATGCACTCCTAGGATTAACAAATCGGTGAATATTCCATCATATTTTCCAAGTGTCAAGTGGTAGGAGGAAGGCCTCAGCTTGAGCATCAGCTATTTGGGATTTCATTTTAGGGGCAGAAACAATACCACTATTTATTTAGAATGAGTTAACAGTAATTAAAATTTTTTCTTAAAAGGCTCAACCACTTCAGAGGTGGTTCCACTGCATTGGCCATGGTCTAGGTCGTTGCGACCGCTCACTTGTGTCGCCAGGAGCCAAGGAGCTGGGATGTGATGTGAGCTGAGCAAACTGGAGGATTGTGAAAAGTGGTTAGTCACAGAAGATTTGAAAAAAAAAAAAGCAACACAGGAGGAGTTAGGAATTAGAATGTTGGGTATTTTGTCTTTGGGAGTTGTTTTTCTTTTGTAATAAACTAATGAACATAGCATGCCCGTATCTCCTATTTTTATCAAGTTACATTCATAGAATGCTTCAAGCAGAGCAGATATTCAGTTTTCTCTAGGCACAGTTGCATCGGTTGCTGAAACACTGAAGCAGTTTCTTCATGTGGATGAATAGCTGCCATGCCAAGCTCTGCCACCCCCTGCGCGTTTCCCACAATCCAGTAAGCAGAGTTAACTCCTGACAGGCCAGGTCACCTGCTATGACATTAACTTTTAGTTTCCTAATGCCTTAAGAGGGGGCAGTCCCACATGAAAATGTATAGGGTTTTTGTTACCTTTGAATTTGTGCCTTACAAAAAGATTATTTATTTGAGAGATTTTTAAATTATATTTTGATAATACCTAAGCCATTACTAAAGTAAATTCTCCCAGAAGAATTCTTTACATTTGCATTTTGCATTCATTTCTGACCAACAACTTACTAGTCTTGACATCAGCCAGAAATTTAGAGATACGTAAGAACAAAGTAGCATGTTCCACACAAAATTTTAATTGATGTGGGGTAAGTAAGAATCAAGGTACAGCAGGTCCTTAAATAACATCATTTCAATCCACATTATTATGTTGAAGAGAAAAAAATCTATTTGCCCGCTAGGGCCACTATGTGGAGTTTGCACATCCCTGTCTGCCTGGATTTTCTCTGGATACCCTTATTTTCTTCTGCGTCCTAAAGATGTGTGTGATAGGTTCATTGGTGTGTTTAAGTGGCCCCGTCTGAGTGTGTATGTGTGTGTCCTGCAGTGCGAGGGTGTCCTGTCCAAGGTGTGTTCCCACCTTGCAGCCTGAGCTAGCAGGATAAGCTCCATCCACCCTTGACTCTGAACTGGAGTAAGAAGTGAGTTGGAACATGAATGAATGAATACAGATTATTTTTTACTATTAGAAGTGTTTTGGGTCTTTATTTCAAAGGTTGATATTTTTGTGACCAGAAATAAGCAGTAGGAACTTAACTGTCTTATCAGTTAACCCATAATAAATTTTGTTTTCCTGATCCATCATGTTACTTTTAAGTCACGCTTTCCAAGAATCTTACTGGCATGCAGTGAGGACTTTGTCTATATAGAGTGGGGTTTGAGAATGTTGTTTATTGTTATGTAACTTCAAATGTGTTCAAGGATACGTGTTGTCAGTTTTCTCCTGTACTCTTAAGCTGCTCTCTTTCCCCCTCTTAATGTGTCGTTGGTTGTTCAGAGTATACTGGCTAACAGAGGTTGGGCAGCAGAGGGCTCCAAGTCATTGAAGGCCCAACTTTGCAGTGGTAGAGTGCAAGTTTCTTCCAAAGAGTTAGACTAGGAGCACAGTAACAACATCCATCTAGAACATTCTTTAAACTTGCTTTTCTTTGGAAATGATTGTGAAGGTTATAGGAGGGCCCAGAGGAATAGTTGAAATTATACTGACTCTATGATGAATCTTGGAGCTTCCTTCTCTTGAAGAAGTATATTCTTATTGGCAACTTGTTTACTTGATTTTTGTAAAAGTTAAAATGTGACTTATAATTCAAGTTCTTTGAGCTTTCAAAGGTAAGTTCTTGATAAAATATGTGAAATGATTTCTAATGCTTTCATTTTGGTGACTCACTCTCATCTTTGCTTATCATAACAAAAGCTCACTAATTTCTTTTTGGACCTTTTGATTCATAAGGTTTCCAGTCTTTGAAAATATAACCAATTACAGGGGAAGGGCAAGAACATCTAGAAATCCAAGGAATCCAGGTATGGCCTTCTGTTCTGATAGGCTCTGACCCCTCCTCATGGCAGATGTAGCTGTACAGCGGCACCAGGAGCTCCTCTCCTGGCACCCTGGGCTGGTGCCTCCATAGAGCTGCCTTCGTGAAAGGAAGCCACTGAGACCACAGGAGTTAACTCAGATGCTGAAGCAGCAGAAAGTCTGGCTCTTGACTCCAAACTAATTCAGAATGCCAAATTCTGAACTTTCTTTTGATACTTGAAAACAGGTGAAGGGGGGATTAATCCAGGGCAGATGGTCAGATCCTTCATTCCTTAAACTGACAACATTAGGAAACATCACTGATCTCCTGCTTTGAACCTTTCCTGTGACCACTAAAAGAAACCCACTATTTCCTGCCTACTTCCAGAAAGCCATAGTCAAAGTGTGCGTTAATGGTCATATGACAGCTAGCAAGTAAGTTGTAGAGCCAGCATCCTGGTATACAGTGAGGACAGACAGAAACCTCCCCTGGGACACCTAAAGCATCCTCACTTTTGATACTTTACATGAGTACAGACCATAAGCTACACCACCATCTTTCCAGCTTCTAGAAGAGCTGAGCGAGTTGTAGTCACTCTGGTCCATTCTACCTTCACTTCATAAACAGTACAGTGGTTAAGGGCCTGGGCTTAAATCCTGGCTCTGTTTTCTATCTGAACATCACTTAAGCTCTCATTTGAAAACTGGAGATAATAGTGTCTCCCTCATAAGGATATTATAAAGATCATATTACTTAGTATGCGGCAAGTCTTTAGAACAGCTTCTGGTACTCAATAAATATTGGATATTTATTTACCTTGAATTTTTAGAGCACTAGGAAGAAATGCTGTCAGTGCACCGTAAGGGTTCATGATGACCAGATTCCCCTGACTGCACTATTAGGTGAGATGTTAGCTTAGATGCCTCAAGTAGAATAGTACCACGAATCCCCATTTACCCCTCAGCTTCAACTAGTATCAACAGTAGGGCACTGTTGTTTCATCTATTTCTCTTATTATTTGGAAGCTAATATCACATATTCCATACCTAAATATTTCAGTATGTGTCTTTAAAGGGTAGTGATCGTTCTTTTTTTTTTTTAAGATTATTTATTTATGCTTACAGAAATGGGGTACAGGCCAGAGGTGTGGTGGGTGAGGAGTAGAAAAGGCAGATCTACTGAATACACTGCTGAGGGGAGCAGTAGGCGGGTCAGGAGAGATCTGCCACGCCATGTGCTTCAGCTCCCTGGCCGGGAATTAAACTCATGCTGCAGTGTGGCTTTGGAGAACTTTATAATGTGGTGCTTTAATCCATTGTGCCATCAGGGAGAGCTCAATGATCATTCTTTTAAAAATAATTGTAGTACCATTATTAGCACACATTAAAAATAGTATAGGAGAGACACCCCAGGACCTGACAGAAATAGCTATGCACTTTGCCCTGCCTCCAAATCCCTCATGGGCAAGAGAAAGGACTAGATGTGTGAGGAGGCATGCATTTAATGTGAGTAGAAACTCCTTTTCTACTTGTGCTTCATGACTGAGGGCCAATTTTCAGATTGCAGATCTAGTTTACAGACACTTCAGAACTATCTCTGGTTTTTCAGGACAACAGCAACTTTAACTTATTTGCTCTCATCAAATGTACTTGATAAGAGTTTCAGGAGTGGATCATGTATGTGTAAGGCATTTGGCAAGGTACCCACTGACACATAGATCTCGTATTTTGATGTCCTCCCTAGACTTAGCATAAGATCACTGGAGGGGAATTTGGGGAAGAAGTGTCTATTTCTGGAGTAAATCAGGGTCCTCAAGTCTAAAAAGATCCTTAGCGCCAGTGCACAAGGACATTACAGTAGGGGTTCAAAGTCAGATAGTGCATATTCGTTTGGGGTTTCTGTAACACTCAGGCTACAGCACTGAAATGAGTAATAGCTCACCGGGGAGGAAGGTGGCACTACAGTCCCTGTGGGGGCATTCCAAAACAAGCAGCTTGTGTCATTTGCGAACTCCTTCCCTGGAGAATTACTGCTTTGCAACCTATCCTGTGACCAACTTACACTATAAGAATGCAGGTGTATTTTTAATTAGAAATTCTGTTAAAATGTCAAATAAGAAGCCTCAGCAACTCTCCCGCCCACCTGTGACTATGCAGGGGTTTCTTCTCACAAAGCTTTTCCCTTTGCAAAGCCACCAGTGGAAGCTCTCTGCCTGCCTGTGTGGGTGCACCTGTCTCTTATTTCCTTTCTCCTTGTCCTCATAAACCTGTCTTTTAAATGTAAAAAAGGAAATCTCAAATGGTCATTTTTATGGATGCTTGTTGATAAAAACTCAATGAACTTTATTGCTTCAAAAAATTTTAATCAAAATAGTTATTTTATTAAAGTATAAAGTATATCTACCATGACAGTGATTTCCCTTAAAACACCATAACCAAGACGTCTAGACCATTCTGTTGTTACCACTTTTATCTATCACAGTATAAAATTTAATAGGCAATGGGATTAAACTAAAAGAATTTTTCAAAACCGTTCCAAATCTCCGAGAGACTGAATTTACAAATTATTTACAGAAAAACAGCTCAGAAAATATTAAAGTTAGCTGTTGGTTACAATGTAGATATACCAAAATCAGCAGTTTTCACAGAAGTAATTTTTATGTTAAAAGTGATTTTTATGTTAAGCCATTTATCATAACAACAAATTGTGAACTACTTGGGAATAAATTTAAAGCCTGTGTAGGGATTTTGGGGAAAGTAAAATATTTTACTGAAGTTCCTAAAAATGACCCTTTTAAGGGGAGAAAAGGTATATCTTGGTCCTAGCTAGGACTCAATATTCTGAAAAGACCACATCTTTCCAAATCTATATATTTAACTAAATTCCCATCGATTTCCCAGTATTTTTTTTTTTTTTAATGACAAAAGGATCCCAAAGTTCACCTAGAAAAGTAAAGGCAAAAATTCAGAGCAAGGAATCAGGCTTTTCAATACCACACTGGGGGGGAAAAGAGAATTTCTTCCTAATTCTCTACTTTGGTAAGTTCGTGGCGCTGTGTGTTAAATATCTTCCATTCTCCTTCCAGTCTCACCCAACCCTGTCTCTCCCACAGAACACAATGTAGCTCTGCACCCAGACAAAAGACAAGGAGCAGTTTCAGAGGAAAGAGGAGCAGGAAGTGCAGGGAAGGAAGGAGAAGTCAGGACACTCACTGGCTTTAACCTTTCCCTCTGTTCTCTCCTGGCCCAGACTCCAAGACAGACCAG